TCGAAATTTAGATTGGATCAACGAACGAATATATAATTTTCTTAAATTCTAACAAGGCAAATTACAAATTTACATCGATTTTCGAAAGATAAAACAAATCTATCCAAGTATATATTTCAAAATAATGAATAGAGTCAACGTTTAGGTCATACTAGTTTCATCCATTTGCATAGACTCGAGGACCCACATTGTACCACGCTTTGTACCACGAGGTCGTGTAATTCTTTGTAGCGAGCCAGTCGCGTATTACGCAGGTTCAAGTTCCGCGAGATTCCACGATAAGTCTACATCTGATACAGCCGCCGAAATGCATATAACGGACCAACGCATTGATTCCCATATTACTTCCTTTCGCTCAGCGAAAGATTCCTCTTCATATATTCTTCACTTGACCGATCCGAGGCAACTTCGTGTTTATACGAAATTCGAAATATAACCTAACCTCTTCAGATCACAAATCAATGTAGTATTTGATCTACCTGGACACATAACATTCCATAATGCATTAATTACCATATAGGGTGATAAATTACACACAAATTTTTAGTATATAAACATACTTTTCTATGTTTTGATGACAACAATTTTTATAAAACTATTTAACACATATAAGATCTATATAATGAAATTTTATAACATGAGAGTTTAGAGCTTACAGATAAAGAACTAAGAACTACTTATAACAAAAAAATATTTGAAATGAATTACCGGTGAAGGAGGAAAGTGATATAAAATTGTAGTATTAACTAGAGTCTTTTTTATGACAAATAATGATACCACTGTTCGTACGCTAGGGAGTGGCAATGGGAAATACTTTTGTTTTTACATCCTTGAATAAAGTAGTAAATTTCGTTCTTTCTTACATTTTGTAAAGAAATATTTTAAACAAATGTTATTTAAATAAAAAAATATAAAAAAAGATTATAAAGACAAGAATTTATAGAAAAACATAAGACGCAATATTTCTGAAATAATAAGATAAATTAATAATAGTATCGTCTTCATTACAGAAAAAGTACTATGAAGTAATAAGAATGAACATTACTTATTTTTTACAAAATTAAAGATACATATTTCCTTTGCATACTTTTTCTCCTACGTATTTTCCTAAAAAGTTAACATAAAATCATTTATATAAAAAACACCGATCTCTACTTTACCGATGCAGCTAAGTGTATGCAATTGAGAGTTGTGTTTACAGATGGCAGCATCTTACAGTTATTTACAAATTTTTTAATAAGAAAAAAAAGATGTTCAGGAAAAACATCCGTACTTTAAAACAAATAAATTACTAGATTTTAAATATTTTTTTTCTATAACTTTCATAAATATTTATTTTATACTATATAATTCTAACATATGAAATAATTTTTAAATATATTTATGATAATATTAGAGTGTATTTATAAAAGCCAATAAATTACGTTAATACAAATGATGCTAACCAAAAATTAAAAATATAAAACTGTTACTTTGAGTAATGTTAATTTATGAAAATTTAAATTATATATATTTGGGAATGTTTATACATTATTATATTTAAATGCATTATAAAAATGCTTTTATAGAAATGTAAGGTTCTATATTAAATGTAAACTATTTATACAAAAAGAAAATCCAACACAAAATATATCAGTGAAATATAAAAACTCTTTTTGTTACTAGAATTCTTTACATGGGTGAAAAGAAATCATGTTAGAGTTATGTATAGTTCAAAATTAAATATTACAATGCAATATGTTAATTTACATACACCTTAATTAAAATATTCAATTCTTTAACCTAAGTATCAAAGTAAAATATTAATATATTACAAATTATTTATAGATTAAACTTAATTTGTTAACTACCATTTGTAAAAGTTCTAATGAACATAAAATATTTGTTTCAAAAAGATATTATTGTGGAAAAAATATAATTATGTTATAACAATGTATATTTTTTACAAAATAGTCTTTAAATATTTATTGATTATGAAAGCTTGTTTTTCATAATGTTCACATATATAAAAAGAACTTATTAAATATTCTAACTTACAATAGTGAACATCTTGAAAGGTTAATCATTTTCCATAAAATGAAAAACATTCTGTCTCAAAATAATTATTTTGAACAATACACGCACGACAATCATTTGAAAATCAATGTGACGGTACATGAAGTAAAATTAATAAAAAATAATTACACGATAAGTTCAAGGTTTATTTGACAACGAATTTGAAGAAACAAAAAGAATCTGTCAGAGAAATCTATTGAATGAAAATAGGACCTGTCATATTCAATCGTTCCTTTGAAGGAAGATCAATATATCTCGTAATAAGGAGGAGTCTTCTTCGATGAATTTAATCAACTTTATATGAGTTCAAGAATTTATTCGTAAAAACTTTGAAACACTCGATGTTAAATCCATTGCTAAAGGAACAAGCTTTTTTCCTGAAAATCGTGAACGCTACCTACGTGTGTGTACATACATGTATATATGTATCAGTACATGTACGCGTATGCGTGCTGTGTGTGAAGGCCATGTTAACAGACTGTAAGTCAACGGTTGACTTCAGTAACGATAAAAAGAGAGTGAAATTTACTTACGATTTTCACCGGCTTCTCCGCGGCTCCTACAGAGCTTTTCCGTACAGTTATTTCACTTTCCACATTATTACGTCCACGGTGAAAAAAAAAAAGGAACAGCGAGAGAGCGAGTTTGATCAAAAGCACAATTTTCGTGACGTCATCGGTGGCTGGGCATGCGCAGACTGATTTCGGTGTTTTTCCATTTACCGCGGAAACACGTGTGGTGATGTCGTTTGTTTCTTCGTTTTTTTCCGTTTCTCTTTTTTTTCGCTTGTTTTCTTCACCGCGAGAACTACATCGCTAAGAGACACGCGACATTATCGCGACGACGCGGTATCGTCCGTTGCGAATTTCGTATGTGATTATTCGCGAGAGCCAGCACGGCTGCCGACATCTATCCATCCACTCCCACTTGTTAAGTGACGTACCCTGACGTCATCGATAGTTTACCTTGAAGCATGACATTGAGTTACACGCTTGCCAATGGCATTAATAAAGTTCCCTATGGTGTGTTTATGTAGGGATTGCGTATACGTAGTTCGTAAATTGACAGCTCAAGTTATGCAGTTATGTTACTTTCTTGTATACATGTAATGTTTAAATTTCTATTATTGGAAACTTTTCATAATTATAACATTTTATATTTATTAAATATTTGATTAAATGACAGTAATTTGAAAAATAATAAACGTTTACGAATATATATGTAAATGTGTTTCGAATCATTTTTGTAAACTGAGTCAATCAGTTTTGTTAGTAACATTAATAATAAGGATTAATATATTTTATAAGTCACGAAAAAGACAACAATTATTTATTATTTCAATAAAATTATATAACCTGTATTAATATTAATTAGTTTCATGTAAAATGAAATATTTTTCATTTTTATGCTATTTATCCATATGAATACACGATAGATAAATAAAAAATGTTTCTTAAATATATATCATGATCAGTACTTGTATTTCTTTCTACTCTGTATTTTATAATATATAACTTTAAGGAAATATATTTTGTTGTATAAAAAATTGAATGGAGGAATAGAAATAATATTAAATAAGCCAAAAGAGAAAAACATCGATGTAACAAACGAACGCAAGGAAACAGATGTGATCTGTGACAGAAATGAAATGTCAGGACAATGTTCATATGATTACAATACAAATTCGTTGTAACGGAAGATTATATATATTTTTTAAATAATTAATTGTTTTTTCATTCATAACCAACGCAAAAATTTTGATTGCAAAGATGTCTGCCATGGATTGTAAGTACGTTGCAAATAATTAAAAAAATGCCATATTTTTTAAGTATGTTCTAGAGTTATTACAAAACGAGATATTTCATACTTTATTTATCATTCATTTATTAATTGAAGAAAATAAAAAGTAATTTTAGGAATAAATATAGAAATATATTTGGTTTTATATTAATTTAATTTTAATTTAAAATCCTAATATATGATATAAAATAAAATATATATTATATACATATTAAAATATATAATACATTAATTATTTGATTCCATATCAATTACTTATTTTATCTTATTTATTATCTTTTAAAAATATTACATTGGATTTATACAATTAATATAGAAATGAAAATGTAGTATTAATTACTATTTATTTTTATGAATTTTAATTATTTATTATAAAACTTCGTACATACAAATTTCAAATAATTTTGAACAAAAGTTATAAATAGTAGGAAACTGTTCAGATGTAAATATTCCTACGAAAATAAACATTTTCTTAATCAAGAGAATTATTTTTCATTTTATTTTCTGAATGTTGTATCACTGTTAAGAAATGCATTGTATTAAAGGAAGTACTTACGTGGATGTAGTTTATAATACTTGAATGATAGCAGACTCTTCGTTGATTTGCTGTTTTACAAATTCTTTTTATTCTTTTTTATCTTTTTGTTCATTATTTTTCGTATTATATGCAATAGTGGCAAATTATTAAGTCATTAATAATTGTGGTAAATGAATTGAAACACATATTTTTCATTATATAATGAAAAATGTATGATTATTGAATGTATAATTTCTTAAGTATAAAATAAACTAATATTCTTATGTGATCAAAATTGTCATTATATGTATAAGATATTTATTTAAAAGTTTAATGTTTTTAGTAAATATGTTTGTTATTTAAATAATATCATAAATATTATAATTATAAGTTAATATAGTGTAATAATTATTATAAATGCTATGTTAATTTACAAATTTTCATCAATGTTTGTTATTATTATTTAATATTATTCATTGAAATAATAATATCAGAAACATAAATATAGCACAAATCGATTAAGTAAATTTAATATTAAGTGAGAAATTTTCTAATTGAAACTAAATATAAGATTAAAAAACAATATTCTGTTCATTAATACTTTGCATTTAGATTTGATTCATCAATAATGGATAGTGCAAACAAAAAGCAACTTGTTCACAATGATAAAGAAAAGGAAACAGATAATCCAAGAAAATGTTTGGATCAAAGGATTTCTAAAGAATCAGATTTAGATATATTATATACAACTCGATTAGATTCCACAAGTCAGGAAGATGTTGAAAAAAAAATTCAGTGTCTAAAACATTTATTGGAAAAAGATCTAAAAGCAGCTGATTTGAAGTGGTCCTTATTTGTAGCAGCTTGTAATACATATCGCTGTGATACTTGTTTAAAACCATTTCCACCAATGTATATACAGAATGAATGCAAGGATATTGAAGCTCTGGTAGAATCCTTAAAATATTAGTCATATTTTTATCATTTTCATATTAATGATTTAATTAAGTAAGTATTAATTATTACATGATAAATTTTAATTACAGAGAAGAGCTATAGAAGTAATTCCCCCATTGGCTGTAATATTAAAAGCATTATCAGAGTCAGATGCATATGAAAAATATGGAACAGCTATAGACTTGTTACATTGGGTTTTAGTACGTTTGAGAGATCCTTATATAAAAAGTATTAAAAAAGAATATGTAAGTTTTATTGTAAATAATTATATAAATTTTGTTAAAGTTTTAATTTTCATTCTGATCTGCACCTTGCAATTATACCTTGTGAAAATGTGAAAAATGTTTACAATATAGTATGACTCAATATTGAGAAAAGTACCTTCAGAAATGTCAATAGTTGAACCAAATTTAATATTCCAAGTTACAAGGACAAAACAATCTACTTCAGAAGACAGATGGAAAACAGTTGCTCAAGGCCATTCAACTTTTTATGCGTACCATGGTAGTCGGTTAGAGAATTTTCATTCCATTATACACTATGGTTTACAACAGAGTATGTGCAAGGTAAAACAATGCAATAATGACATAATGTAATGTTTAATTATATATGTTAATGTAATAAATTATAATGTCTTTTAGAAATCACTATTTGGTAAAGGAATATATCTTTCAAGTGAATTAGGTGTAAGTTTACCATATAGTCCACTTGGCTATGGTTGGGGTGGTAGTGTATTAGGAAGTGAAATGAGTTGTATAGCTTTATGCGAACTTATCGATCATGCAGATGTAAAGATTGGAGATTCAGGTAATAATGTATTAAGTATGATATTATCTATTTTTTCTTATATGGTATTTTCTATAGTGGATAATGCTCTAAGTCTAGCCGCCGATTCTGTGGATGGAAGAATTCCAATTAAATATTATTTGGTAACAAATAGTGAATTGGTAAGAGTACGATACCTCCTTATTTACAGTCAACAAGTTCAAACAGCAAGGTAAATACAATATTATTTTCAATAATGTTTTTAGATATATAAATATATATTTGTATGAATTTATAATGAAACTATAATAATGATTAACATTTTAGGTGTACTGATGATAAAGGATTATTGGCGTGGTTTAAACAACATAAATTATTAACATTTGTACTTGGTTATGTGGTATTACTGGCTTCAGTTGGATTAACTCATAACAAACAAGTTGAGAAGTATTATAAATTATTTGCTCAAAAAGTTGGACTAGAGTAAAAAATCTTTCTAATATAATCAATTGTCCATCCATTAATATGTACATTAGGCTAAAAAAATTATTTTTTTATATTTTTTTCAATGAAATTTAACATAAAATTGCATTTATTATAAGAAATATATACAATTTGTAAATAATATACATAATTTATATAAAATATTGTACTTATATACAAAATTTAATATCTTGATAATATTATGGGAAAATTTTCTGTAACTAAATAATCATCTTCAAATATTACAATTAAATTCACTTCAAATTCTGTAATAAAAAATATGATTTTTTAAATTTAAAAATTCTTTTAGAAATGTTCAAAACTGAAATTATATAGTGATCTTACCAACTTTAAAATTACTTGTACTCAATGTAGGACATGTAAATAATCTTGGGAATATCATATATATTGGTATAGGCAAATTTGTACAAACATTTCCTTCTCCAATCTGTATATTTTGTATTTCTGTAGCTAAAATAAAAATAGCATTATAAGATGATAAATGAAATGTTAATATCTTCTTATCTTACCATCTCTGGAATATCCTTCAGCACAACCACATGTTTCTACTCTTACCAATTGCAGTTCAATTGATTTTATTACTGCTTCATAATGTTCAATTATCACCTTGCATTTAAAAATGTTATTATTTTATACTAGCATATTGAATAAAGCAAATATATGAAAAAACTATTACCTCTCCAGTTAAAGGTTCAGAAATCTTGCAATACAAGGAATCTAGTTTCCCAGAAATGCAAAATTTAGGTATATTGGTTCGGTCTCTTATATTTTGCAAAGATTGTGGCATAATATTAAAACATACTGGTTTACTAGGTTCATTTTGTATCTTAGGTGGAATTTTATCCTCCACTATGAACTCCAATGACTTGTTCACATCTTTTGCTAAGAAACTTCTTTTTATATCACAACGTATGAAATATTGAATATTCACAAAAACTCCATGATAAGTTTCATATAAAGATTTAGTCCCTCTTGGTTTTAATGGTAATTCAAATGGTATTTCTGTCCTACCACTTGGTATTTTACCACTTGGAGCAACATCTAAAGTATATTGAACTAATTGTATTGGCTAAAAATTATTGTGGAAATTAATTTATTTGATTTTCAATTTATGATTATTCAAAAATTTATAGAAATTTCCCTGGAAAAAATAAACCTTTAGAATAAACTAACTTTTACGGAATTGTAAAAAGCTTCAAAAAGGCCAAAATTTTTTGAACTGAGCTGTAAATTAACTGCTCCTTCCATACTTAGAAATATTCCATCGTGTTTAACATCCGAATTAGTTTGTAGCAATATAAAACCCGCAACTATTTCCTAAAACATAACCTTAATATTTTTCGTTCTATAAAATTATTATTATAAATTATATGAAGATATACCCCTTCGTGATATATTTTACTAGCACGCTTTAATTTAATATCAATATTTATTGTCATTTTATAATTTATTCTTGTTAATGAATAATCGTATAAGAATTTACGTATTTATTAATAATGACATTTATCGAAGATTATTATCTATAACATAGTTTACAGCATTTAAGTCAATACATTTAACTAATTACAAAATTTACAATGAATATTCACACACAAAATGCACATAACTATAATATAAAATTAATTGCAATAAAATGTAGTTGGATACAATTAAATATTTTACTATCTTTGACTAAATGTCAATAGAAACATTCCGTTACTCAGTGCGAGCATACATGCGTGTCTATACATAGATAGCAATATATGCGATGCATACATCATACACCGCATACGATACTTTTATACTTTTCATTTTTAATTTCTTTAATATGATATTTAAAAAGTACAAAACAAAATATAGCTTATATCATTATTTATGTACAGTTTGTATAATTAATAATGACATATTTAATCGAAAAATATATAGTAACTTTTTTGTAAAATAATTTAATATTATTAACAGAATTTATTTCTGTATTATTAATTTTTTTATTTAATACGTAAAAAAACACTTGAAATTTATCTATTCAAGAAAAGACTGAAGCGTAGTTGTAACACATTTGAAATACGTGACCGTTCAATTAGCCAATCAGATATTTTGGTTTTCGCGGTTTTTCTTCTTCTATAAACTAACATCCGTAGAGGGTGAACTTCCGTCGATCGACTAAACAAATTCAAACCGACAGAGTCGTTACTGAGAGGTGAACGTTTTAAAACGGTGGAAGTGGCCTAATCAAAAGACGAGTTTTTGGTGTTGCGTAAAATTTTTTACTACCTGAAATCGCAATGGCTTTAAGAAATCGGACTGCACTTACGGTGAGTTTGATATTTTTTAGATGCGACAATGCTGAATTAGTCGCACAATGTTGTTGGGGGAAGGTCAACAGAACAGGGTAACCGTCTGTTCCTGACATCTTTAAATGCCCTTCGTTTATTTTAAAAGTTATTAAAATACTCAATCATCATGATTTTTCTAGATTATTATACAATTTATAAGATATTCCGTAGGAATTTTAATATCATTTATTTCATTGTTTAATAACGAAAATTATTAGTTTTTGAAATTCAATATTAATATTAACGAATATTTTGATCCTTAAAGTAATATTTTATTTCATATCTTTTACTTATAGGTATCTGAATTCTTTTTTTTGTAGCATATAATATAATTGAAAGGTAGAAATCGTACATGTATTAATAAGTCAAATATTTGTAAATCGCACTATATAAAGTGAAAATGCGTTTCGTAAACATTTGGATGAATTCTATACTGCCTATAATTAATTAATTCAGAAATACTTAATATATTTTACATTAATTATTTGTTATAATTTTATTAGTATATATAAAATATTTAAAATAAAAATTTGTTAAGATGTACTCTTACTTTTCAGTTATTATTTTGTTAGAAACATTAATAATTAAATGTTTAAATGTATCTGATAAAATTAAAACAAATCAAAATAAATTTTCAGAACATTGTAAATCAAGAAAATGTTAGAAATCTTAAGTCTTCAATGATTACGATACCTGGGAAGACTAAGAGAGCTGCTTTGGGTGAAATAGGTAATAAAGTGAACACATTAAGAGGTGTGGAGCCTATTGATAGAACAAGCTTACTATCAAAAGATAAAAAAACAATTATAATTTCAAAACAAGCTAATAAACCACCAGAAAAAGCAACTGAGAAATTACCTGTACAAATAGTTAAACCTGTAATAAAGGTTACAGTTCCTCATGAGAATAATATGGTATCAGTGCCTTCTAAGAAGGAGATTCAATCATTTTCCTCAGATCTTTTAGCAGTTGAGGATATTGATGAAGAAGATAAAGAAAATCCTAGTCTAGTTTCTATTTATAGTAATGACATTTATGAATACTTAAGAACCTTAGAAAATATATTCCCAATCTCAAAAGGATATTTAGCTGGGCAAGAAGTTACATCAAAAATGAGGAGTGTACTTGTAGATTGGCTAGTAGAAGTACATCAACAATTTCATTTAATGCAAGAAACATTATATCTAACTGTTGCTATCATTGATCGATTTTTACAGGTTTGTTATTGCATGTACTCATATTTCTATATGTCTAATATTTATATGATTGATTATTTTCTGCAAAGATAAATTTTTATTTTTTCCAACAGTCTTTTCGCTCTATAGATAGGAAAAGGTTACAGTTAGTTGGTGTGACAGCTATGTTTATTGCTAGCAAGTATGAAGAGATGTATTCTCCAGATATAAATGACTTTGTATATATCACAGATAATGCATATTCAAAGGAAGAAATATTACAAATGGAAATGCTTATTGTAAGAACATTAGATTATTCTTTTGGTAGACCATTACCCTTACATTTTTTAAGAAGGTACAGCAAAGCTGGAAAGGTATGATTTATAAACCTGTGCTACTAATTAATTTTTAAATATTATATCTTTTATTTAATAAATTATTTATTTATAAGGCCCTCCCAATGCACCATACAATGGCCAAATATTTCTTAGAGCAAAGTTTAGTGCATTATGAAATGTGTCACTATCGACCAAGTCTTATTGCAGCTGCAGCAATATATCTAGCTTTTCTGTAAGTTACCTACTAAAGAGACAATATCAATGTGATTTTTTAAGTATTACAGAATATAATTAAGCAATTAACCAAATAAATAAATTTAATCAATATAAAATAATTGTTGATTTAACCCATTAATAATTCATTGTCATTATTATATCTAATTACATAGAATTATTGATAATGATGACGAGGACGAGCAGAAAGTTGTCTGGACAAATACCTTGGCACATTACAGTACCTATTCCAAGGACGACGTGTTTCCCGTGGTACGGGAAACAGCGAGTATTATAGTTAATGCGGATAAGAGCAAGTATCAAGCTGTAAGAAAGAAGTATGCTCAATTGAAATGCATGAAGATTAGTACTCGCCCTGAGCTTAGATCAGGAACGATAATTGCTATAGCCAACGCGAATAAGGAGAGAGTATAATATTCACTTTAAAGGGTAATTGCAGTGAGATATTTATCTGTTCAATATCTCATTGAACAAAATAAATTGCAACATACATAGGATGATACATTTTCAGAGGGAGAAATACATGAGACGAGCAGACGAAATAAAAAAAGAAAATGAGAGACGAGACTATCTTCATTCATCATTTTTTCTATATATATCGTTTCCATTAAAAAGAATGTCATATAATTAATTATATTCTTGATTATTTTCTTGATTACCTCAATTAATATTAAAATTACTTCTAAGTGATGACTTTCACTCCAGAGTTTATTGGAGTAAATAATTTGGAAATAAATAAAAAAGAAAAATATCATTAATATGTGTAAAAATAACACCACAAACAAAATTCATGAGGACGACTAATAATGCTTATCTATAAAAAATACGTAATAAAAAATATGTAGTCGTTTGAAAACAGTATTCAAAATGTGAAAATTTCTATTTATCGATTAAATTCAAAACTTGTGAACGATAGTCTCGTTTATAATTATAGATGTTTGCTTCAAGTATTTAAGTTCTATTAAAAATGGGACGTTCTAATTCTGAATATTACGGGGCTGTTGTACGAAGTTCGTAAAAAAGAAAGAAAAATTTTAATAAGTAATTTCGTATGATTTAATTCAGCTCGGATATTTTTTATTCGCGATATTATTGTCGAGTAATATCTGCTTTATTAAAATCAGATATTCAACAGGGAAATTGCTTATTGAAGATTTTCTTATCTTTACACGTAATTACAGAATTTAGGGTAATAATATAGAAAGTTTTCTAATATAGCAAAAAAGAAAAGGAAGAAGCATGAGAGTATATTCAATTGATAGAGATGAATATGTACATATATATCTTTTGGATTATAGAAAAAGTAACAAACGTTTGCTGAACGATCTCCGTTTAAATTTTGTAAAATTTCGGCAAAATGATGTGATGTGTATGGTCCTAAAGACTGAGAAATTTTAGATTCCATTCCAACTATATTTATCATAATTATTTTAAAAATTAACATAATATATAACTAAAATTTAATTATAAGAAATACAACAATAATAACCATTCTAAATTACATCTAATGTACAATATAACATAATTCAATTAATTAGTAGAATATTATTAATATATTTTATAAATTAAAAATTATTACGAAATAAACTAAAATGGAATAATTTTTAAACGTGCTACTAAACATTTTGCCGATTTTTTATGTAATTTGAAACAAGATTTTTGAGTATTTAAATTATAAATTATATCTTTTATACTGAAATATTGAAGAAATTTTAACTTTTATTCATGATTATAAACACATTTTTATTTTGATATTAGTTCTATAAATAATTTTAAACATATGAAAATACCCGAGTATTTCAGACAATATTAATAATCCCTACTTTGATACTAATATTTTCACAAATATTATATCGATGAACATAATTGTTCATATTTGGCGTTTTGCCAGATTATTTGTGCATTTGGAACGTAAATATTGTTTAAAATTTATGTAATGAAAATTTCAGTAGAAAATAAACTGTAATAATGTTTTTCAGGGGATCATATATCATTTATAGAAATCTAGATCATATTATAATATGTATATTTAAACTTATATTGGAATACTTGTTTTATAATATAAATCGTGGATTAGTATAAGGCTGCGAGTTCGCCTCGCAAAACTTTGTTATAAATTAAAATAATTATTGTAATATATTTTATTTCATATAGCTATAGAAAAATTGTCTTAACGATACACAATTTAGAGATTTATTAAATAAATGGAAAAATAAACACAAAACAAATGTATTTTTTTTAAAAATAGGAAGATTCTGAGATTATAAAATATAATTTAGTTTAGTTAAGTATTAGAATATATTCAATTTCCAAGATGAAAAGTTAACTACTGGTGGACGTGTAATATAAGGTTCTGAAAATATTAACAGTAATTGAAATAAACATTTTGTTAGCAACATAAAATAATAATAGCTTACCAACTAATTTTTGACAAAAAGATAAACCTTGTAAATCCATTGACGCTACGAATTCTTCATTTTCCTGAAATTTTTGTAAACATAAAATGTTATACAATTAATTAATTTACTTATAAATATAGTATAATATATACCATTTCTGTTAAGCTTGAGGGCGCAGATTTGTCCCAGATTTCAGATTTACTCTTCTCTATTATTGAAAGTAACTTTTCCATACAATTTTGAATTTTTGCAGCATATTCATCATCATCAAAGTATACAAGCATTTGTATCAATACATGTAAATCCTCTGAAGTACAAAATATTATTTTGCTTGATATTTAACATGCAATTGATTGTTATGAGTAAGTATACAAACCACATTCTTTATACGTATTGCTAATAATTTGATATAAAGTTTGTATTAATGCAAGATCCTCAAATACACTGCCCTCTTTCAAACTTAAAAGTTTCCTTTCTTGTTTTCTACGATTTTTGCTTGATCTGTAACTTTTTCTAAAAATGTTATGTATATGAATATATTATTTTCAATATAACTATAGATCATTAAAAATATTCGCATATATTTTTACCCAGATAAAGTAGATAATTTTGATCTTTGACTAGAAGTTGAACTAACAATACTACTTGTATCACTAAGAATATCAGAAATGCCTTTATCACATACAGATTTGCTGTCACAAAGTATTTCATTATATGATTTTACATTTTTTTGAGAAATATTATCCCTGACTGTCATAAGACGTAATTTATATTGTTCAAAATCTTGTTTATTTTTCTTTATTTGAAACATTACATGATCTGCATATTCATATACACTAGATCGTATACGAGAATCTAAAATATTACAATCTCTATTAATAAATATCAAGATATTCAAGTTGGTATTTGACTTACATATTATTTTAAGAAATGTAAACTTACCTATCAAATTAAAATTTTCAGTGTCATGCGCAATTCTTACAGCATTTTTCCATTGTTTACCATTACACAAAGAGACTATTGCTTCCTCTGCATCTTTCAAATAAGTCATTAAAATATGTGCAGCTTCTTCATATTTTTTATCAGTGTTTAGACGTTCTGCAAGATCCTTGTAAAGCACACATTTTTCTGTTGTGCTAAAACATTTAATGTTATATTATAGATTTATGATTTATTTAATCTTTTTAAGTATGAGATATTTACATTTTAGACATTTATAATAATTATGACATTAATATTTTAATACTTATATTAACCTTAATTCCATTTGTGTAGATAGGATAAGAACATCTTGCCAGCTGCTAGCTTGTTTATAAGCATTCAAAGCTTCTTTAAAATTACCGCTTCTGGAGAACATGATTCCAGCTTCGTAATAGAGTCGTTTTTTTAACAAAAATTCGCCATAAATTTTAGCCACCTCCTTGTACTTTTCACTTTCCTTTTCAAATAATTTTAGGGCTTTCGTATATAGGTTGTAATTACGTATTAAATTTAGACAGTCATTAAATTTGTTTGATTCTTTCACAATATGTTCAAGAGCGGACTCATAACGTTTTAAATATAAATCAATAGAATATTTCATACAATTTTCATTAAGTATTTTTAAATCATTTAAAAATGGAATATATTCTTTAGGATCTTTTTGTGACTTAGAAGCAATGAACATGGTCAAATCAAAATCATACATTCCTAAAGCTATATCGAATAAAATATTTACATCTACTATATACAATAAATATTTTAGTGCTTCATTAGACATTGTGTATTCTTCAGTTTCTGTTAGTTTTGCTTCTAGTTTTCGAATGTCCTTTATTTTTGTCAAAGCAGCTTCCAATCCTCGTCTTCTTTTTCCTTTCACCAAACTGATTAATATCGGTTGAATTAATTGATTAACATGATTGCTACGTTCCATGATGCTTTGCAATAAGTCGCAAATCAATTCAATTTTATTCATCTCAAAGTTGTTTGATTTCGATCGATGTCTTCGATAATAATTTGCATATATTGTCATGATGACATTTTCATCTGTTAACTCAGATAAAAATAAACTCAACCAACAAGGTTTATAAACTTGTTCAACAAATTTATTTGCATTTTCAATGAATTTCTTTGGATTATGGTCATAGATCAAATTCAAATTTATTCGTTCTCTTCGCATTAAATCGAATGCAGATAAATAATCGCAATTATCTAAATAAAAGCCGATAATGTACAAAGACAATGCTCTTGGTTGAATGCATTCTAAATTTCCACGAGGCATTTGTAAAACAGTCCTGGAATCTTTTGGAATAGCAGCAATCAATTGAGATCCTCTTTCTATTCTTCTAATATTCAAATCTGAAAAAATGAGTACTAATTATAATTATAGCATTAAAATTATAACTTAATTTAAGAATAATATATAACTTAGCAATAAAAAATTAATAATTATTGTACCTGAGAGTACTTTTTCATTGGAATGATTTTCCCATGGTTTCACGGTTAAATCCTGTTTTACTAATTCTTCAAAATCATCTTCATTTAAATTAACACATATTAAAGTATGTTGTGTAGTTGTAAGGAGTAAAAATTCTGAATGGACAAAAAAGCTTGTGATATTGTTAGCAATTTGTTTTCCATTAATTGCAAAGCAATTTCTATGATATAATGACAGTATTACATGCTTCACAGCAATTTTCACAACTTCTACTTTATAAATATATTCCTGTAATTGCACATCAATTGGAATTATTTCTGTTTCTTTTGTATATTTTACAATAGAATTTTCTACAATTATATATGCCTGTCCTGAATCAGGAGAAGGCACTATTTGTTGAATTAAACCATCCATAATGTATATTTCCCTAAAAACATTATTAAGCAATTAATTTTCAAAACTATATTTTAAGTTTTTGTACTCTTAATGTATAAAATTTTTTAAAAAGATTATACCCCAATATTACTTGTCCTTGAATTTGATCTTCAATTGCATTTAATGATAAAATACAAAAAAAACTTTGATTATTAATTGACAATGAGCATGAGATATTAGTTTCATCAAGCCATAGAAAATGGTGCATGTTGTAGACAAAATTTTTATATTCCAGAGGAACAGCCCATTTAATACTATATGTTCCAATATGTTTATACTCTAACAGTGATGAATCCTAATTGTTTAAGTATATTATTAATTATAAAGTATAAATTATTTATAAAATTTTAAATAATTTATAATTAATTTGTTTACCATTAAATGTTTATAAAATATTAATTTGTTACTAGCAGAAACACAAAAGAATGTATTACTATCAATCCAAGTAGCTTTATTTTTTGTATCTGGTGCAAAAACAATAGCATTTATGGATTCAGAAGTTTCTAAAGTTTGATGTGCCATTGGTGGTGGTACAATTCCAACTCTAAGACCAGTCACTAACAAATTATTTCCATCAATGACTGCAATAACAGATTTATCATGTACAGTTGTGCCTCTACTATGATCAACAGACCAATTATAATCACAAGTGATAAATTCTTTGTCAGTTAAAAGAATCAACTTTTTTAAATAAGATGTGCTCCATGTAGCATATATCAATGAATTATTTATGGGAAATTTAATAGACTGTTTCAAATACCAATGATAATTATTTTCTGTCCATAATTGAAGAACTGAAGAAGTATCTTTTTCAATTTGACACCAAATAGCCAAAATTTCTGAATCTGGGGACCAAATTAAATCTTTTACCTATAACATAAATTTAAAAATAATAGAATTATCATAACTAAATTTATTAAGAATAATAATATATTGATACGTACTCTAATTTCTTTTGGTTTAAATGGAAGTAAAAATTCTCTATGTTTTAAACCATTTTTCTCAAAAAATGCAACAACATGTTTATTCTGCAAAATTTGTGTTGTTGCAATTAAATTACCAGATGGTTTCCATGATAATGATTCTTCCAAACCATTAGTTAATTCACTGGTATATTGTAAAATACCCTCTCTGCTAAATACTTTGAATTGCCTAATTTTACTTTTATGGTGTACAAAACTAATAGCAAATAATGAACCATCTTCACGCCAAGTTATTCTACATAATCCATCATCTAGATTATTTTCATTGATTTCTGTTGGTTTAACTATTGCTGCTTTTTTTCCTTCTGATCCATGGAACTGAGTTTCCTTTTTACCCCAACCAACAGTTACAAATTGTTTTTGACCAAAATGTTGTGCATGCAGATCTATCTTTGATATTATTTGAAAAGTAGATACCATTGTTATCATAATATCATTAATTGTAACTAATATGATCATTTCATGATCTGGGCTTAGTTTCATACATTGTAAATCTTCGTTTAATTGCGTTATTAACTCAAATTTAATTTCAGATTCAATATTTATTCTTATAATATTACCAGACTTGCAAGCACCATATAATTGTTGAGATATGCTACAATATTCTAAACTAACAAATTCTAAATTTTCATTAATGTCATAGGAACTTATGTTTTCTACACGATTAAATGGAATTTTATATAATTTATTTTTTAAGTATATATAAGAATCACCATTGTTAGAATTGATAGCATATAGTATCTTTAAATCACTTGAATTTGTAATTTGATTTTCTAGGATATTTAAAGTACGACTGGCACGTTGTGTCACTGTCAAATTTTTCATTTTAAATGATTACAAACAATTAAAATGTATGAAAAATTATACAAAATATTTTCTGTAATTTACCGCAGACACAAAAATGTGCACCTCAAGAACTAACCTATATGCAGTTACAAAGTAATATACGAAACAGCTTTATGTGTACTTATAGAACAATAGAAACAAATCCATAGATTTCATATTTTATATAAATAGAATAAATTAAATAATATTATAAACAAAAACAGTATTGCATAAAAACGATTACATTATTTAAATTACATATATAACAACGAAAAAATAATAAAGTAATATGCGAAATGTGTTTTTCTAACCTAAATTGTATTAATAAAAAATTGTGACAAGTGTATTTTAGTAATATGAAATTTTACTTCTTGCGTTAAGTATTAATAAATCATTAATTTTGTTTAAATATAAGTACATCATGAATATTAATGATATCGATAATGAAGATGAAGATGTTGTCATAGAAGTACTAAAAATTTTGAATATATTTTTATTAATATTCAATAATATAATTATTTAGTATTTTATGTTCTTTATTCATTATTTATAGGATTCACCTTTACACGAATATTTATGTAAATTAGGTTATACTGACTTTGAAAGTGTAAAAATAGAAAGATTAACACATAAAAATGAAAAAAAAAACTCGAAATTATTTGTGAGTTTCTTTAAATAAATCAATAAACATTATATAATATATATGTTATAAACATTTATATATTTTTAGGATATCATACTCAAAGTAAAAAATGTTTTTAAACATTTATATGTTATATATTTGGGGATAATACAGGTACAAATATAAAAATCTGCATATATACATAATATCATGAACTATTTATAACACAGAATTTTATTTATACTAGGATGATAATACATCTAATAAACAGATGAAAAATATTTTAAATGCAAAAATTCTTTTAAGTGATCATAGTTTTGCAATACATAGTCTTTTGAATAAATATGATTATAAATCATGGAGGTAAAAATTTTAAATCATCAAAAAAATATAGAAAATAGCAAAATTAGAAAAATATATAAACTATACTAGCAAATAATTAAATTGAATAAAATAATAATTATATTAATTTTTTTCAGGACTATAATATCAAAATTTGTTTTATTTGGTACAATTTTATCATCTTCCATGTATACATTTTATTATACTCAGTATAGAAAATCTGCTAGTTTATTTGCATTAACTGTATTATCTTATATTAGTTATATGGAATTTTTGAGAATAAATACACATATAGATTTAAAATCTGTTGTGTCTTTACAGAACGATTGTTTTGATCTTTGTAAAAAAGGAATGAAAATTTTGAAATATGGATATAAAATAAAATTAAACAGAGGAAAAGGTTTCCAACAATTTTGGTAAGCTTTTGAATTTTATAAATCATTGGATCTTATATTATTTTTTATATAATTTTGATATTAATGTGTTCAATTTAATAGTGATCTTACAGCAGGTAGATTGAAATATTTACAACCAATAATGGAAAGTTTAGTGAAATGTATGGGAGATATTTCTTGTATATACTATCATACTTCTTTAATTCTTATAAAATTGTTACCAATAAATATTTGTAATGAAGAATTATTAACAAAATTTGAAAGTGAATCATTTGAAGTACTTGGTGAAATAAATTATCAAAAATTAAAGGTTGAAATATAATAAAATTTTAAATTATTATTTTGTGATTAATATTCGTGTATCTTTGTCCGATTATATATTGATATTTTTTTTAAATAGATTCTATATCACACTTATGTTCTTACACAGTCCGAGACATTACATTTATTAGCTGTTGCATATGATAATCATACTTGGCGACAATCATATAAAAAAGTTCCCGAATTAAAATTGTCCTATATCATTCATTTCTTAATTGTGAATTTAAGCATCTACAAAAAAAAATTCTCTGAATATATTGATGCTTATTATAATTTTAAATTGGAACCTGTATTATATCAATACAAGTAAGGATATTTTATTGCAATGTTCTTATTTAGAACTAAGTAGATTACAAGGTATTTATGTGTCTTCATTATTTTAGAGGATCAAATTCATCAAAATGGCAAGATTTATATATGCATCTTTATTTAGCATCTAATAAATTACAATTGGCCTATAGTCATATATTATCAGTACTTCAAGATATTGATAATGATGTAATTGAAAATATAACTAACGAAGATTGTATGAAAAATACAGCACAAAAGTTAAATGCAGCTGAAAAAAGTATTGAGACTGCAAAAGATTTTCTTGAATTTAGCTGTTTATTTCTTGTAAAATTCCACATTAGTGACTCCACGATTAATCGATTACAAACAAATATTCCAACATCAATTGAAAATTCCGATACTCGTATCGTAGCTGATTCGGAACCGGAAATTATAGATGAAGTATTTGAAGAATATATTACAGAAGAATACCTAAAACCTTTGAGTGAAGGAACCGACGAAATATCATTGTATAATTATAATCGAGATAAAATGCTATTTAAAAATTTTATGACTGAATTAAAAGATGCTTTAGCCGATAAAAAAAAGTCTATGTCTGAAAGAGAATCAAAGGCTCTTCAACGGATGTATAAATCTATAATAAAAACTGCTTCAAATGAACAACTTCATCGAATTCCCACACCTCCACCAATGCCCTTATTTAATATTTTTTCCGTAATACAGAGGGATAATAAAGGTTCTAATAATGCAACAGAGCTACAATTAAATGAATTGCCTGAAAAATCCAATATTAATAAAACAATTAATGAAAGCAAACAAAATTCAACAGAAAGAAATATAAACGACAATTTAATGGGAAAAATACCACCGACTATTAATATATCTTTACCAAAAAATACAGAATTCTCATCTTTTTCTTTACCACCATTTTTAAAAGTGGAAGAAGAAACTTTTATAGGAAATGGCGAAAATTCTGAAGATGATGAAGAAACTAAAGTAAAAAGTGAACAGAAAGAAATTATATAATGTGTATTTATTGTAATGAAAATACTTTGTATTATGAATAAAGTATTTTCATTTAAATAACAGTAAAATAACATATTTAGTAAGAATACATACTGTGAAGAATGTTTATTTACAAATTCGGGACAAATTACATATTTTGTCCGATTCTCATTAAAATAAAAGTGTTTGTACAAGTTGTATCCTGTATAATACCAATGAGAATAATGATAATGGTTAACACTAACATATAGCATTACAATACTAATATCAATATAGATTTTTAATTTAAAAAAGTTTGTTTGTATTATATAATCATATAAAATGCGTTAATGTATTGATAAAAACATGAATAAATTATCGCATAAACATAATTCGCGACAATAGAATCTTACAATAAAGAATTGTTAACTCATTTTATAAGTTATTATAAAGTATATTTAAAATTAATAGTAAATATTATTCGATAAAAGAAATACTGATAAAATATTGGTGAAAGTACTTAGATGCAAGATACACATAAAATATTATAAAGATTTATTTAGTATAATTGATATGATCAAATATTTTATTCTTTCATATGAAGGCATTTTTTTCGTTTTCTTATTTGCATATAACATAAAAGGAATTATCATACATCAGTTTTTTTAATGTTCAAAAGGATCTGATGTGAATGTTATTTCTCTTTGTTAATTAAACTACTTTTATTCTACGATATCTTTCATTTGTGAAGTTAATTATAAGCTAATTTTCATATCATTTGGAACTTGGCAGTGATAAATTGACAAAGTAAAGGGACTTCTTTATAATATAAATATCGCGATACAGAGACTGAAATACTCTGTAATTATACACTTAAAAGAATGAGAAATATTTATAATTATGTCAATATACCACAAATTCTTCAGCCAGAAAAAGTTTTAGCCTAGTACTTTAAGGTGTCTAATGACGTACCTTAACTTTAATCAATACTAGACTAAATCTAGGACTAGATGAAGCATTTGTTATAAATTGTGAAGAAACTGTATATGATTGTCTCTAAACTGTAACAGAAAAATATCATACAGTCATGGAATAATAACTAAATATAATAGTGTCAGCATTAAAAAAATATATAATTAAAAACCTTTAATATATATTTTGTAAATTTGTTTTTATGATAAATGAAAATTATGCAATATAGTTTAAACATGCAATTAAGCTATACTATTCATTTTATAGAATATTAAACATTCCTAATTTCTTGTGTTTTGTTATATAGGTAAGGAATTACATAATTACACGCTTGTCATATTAAAGCAGAAGTACAGAAATGTATTCTTTGCGTATTCTTATTTCATAAAATTCAACTAAAAGTTTCTATATATTTATTGTTCCTTCATAGGAGGAACAAAATCAATTGAACGAATTCTGCTGTACAATGTAACTAATTAATTGAAACCGCTATAATGCCAACCATGGATGATGACGAATAGCTTCGCGACTTCGATCTCCATAGTCATATGTTACTTCCACTCCAATGGGTATATTTTCCTTTGCTGTAAGTACCAGATGAGGCGTCGACCCTACTTCTACGACTCGTGCAGTTAAATTACCGTTTCTTGAATGATTTACTAATCTACCTAACTTATCAGTCTCTGCTGTTGCATCGACACTAAAAATATAATGATAATGTAAGTAGTCAATAACTTGCAATAACTTTAAAAATAATTTAATATATACCTACCAATACTGATGATTACGATGTTGAAAATAATACATATAACATCCAGTGTTCTGGTCTTGGGCGTATATTTTTTCTCGTTTTTTTGCTGTCACTTGATCAATTAGTTCACCAATATATTCTACTACAAATTCCCCTTTCATAAAATTTCGCGTTGTTATTACCCCTCGTCCTTTACCAGCAAAATGTCTTACCTAAATAACAGTATTTTATGCGGAATTTATAAAAATATAACAATTTTTTTCAGCAATTTATTTTACCTCTAAACCTTCTTCTACTTGACAAAGTACTTTATTTTCCATATCACGTTGTTTCTCTTCTAATACAACTTTTTTAGATTTTCTTACACTGCGGCGAACTGGAAAGTAGTCAGTAAGTTTGTGATTTGTACTTTTGATATTTGAAGAATCTGTCGAACGATTTGTAGCAGACTGATTGCTGTATAATTTTCTACGACCACGATTAGCAGGTTTTTTTAATGGTTGATGTTCCAAATTAATTGCTGGAGTTATTACAGGTTTCTTGTGCTTTTCATTATTTAGATTTCTTTCATCTAGATCTTCTAATTGGTTGTTAGGCATGTTAATTCTGTGCGGAGTTGATGGACCATGAATAGGTACTGCTACAGGGGTTTCTGAAATTTTATTATATACTTAACAGTTGTTAACAACAGTTATGAATAATATCATTTAAATGTACATTAATGACTATCAATTAACAGTGTATTATATTATAGAATAACAATTAATACCAAATAATAAAATGTTACCATCTGTTCTGAAGTGGCCAACATCAGTGAGGATATCATTTTGTATATCATTAGTTTCTTCACTTCTATAAAACCTTTCTTCAATAGGTACTATAGAAGTCTTATTTGTAGAAACATCTTTAATCTACATTTTAAAATACATAACACTATTATAGTTTAATAATACATATTGTTTTTAATAAAAAACATTATTTTATATATGAATCATATAAAACAATAAAATTAAGAGAATATAAATATAATTCAGACACTAATTTCTCTGTAAATATAAATTATTATTTAATTTCATAATATTTGAAAAAATTACATACTTGTGTATAAAAAAAAGAACTTATGCAGATAGATGATTTATGTGTTTCAGATACTGAATGGAATTCATCCGAATTAAAATGTTTTACATTTTTATTATCATTTAGCTTGGTCTCTTTCTTCATCGGTAAATTTATATCACATTGTATGGGTGAAACAGTAGCTCTTGTAGAAACTGTATTTTTTGCTTGTACACGTTTTTGTCTTCCTACAATTAAATTAAATTCTCTACAAAATCAGAATTTTTTAAATTTTCAAGTACAACAATAATAAATATTGCAATATAAAAACCAAATATTGTAGCCGATTATGATATTTAATTAATTTAATTTAACATTTTATTTTTATGTTATATGTATATTAAAATTATACATATTGTGTAACTAATAAAGTTTTATATTTTATTTCTGTAATTAAAAAAAACCTATACGAACTATGCCGTGCGTATCTATGAATATCGTGCTGTCAGAGATGTCATGCGCGCATCAATTATCTGTAACATCTACAACTTCGCAAAAATTATTATTGTCGTAATAATTATATCGTCTATGTTCTTATGAATAAATAACAAAACATGAAATATGCATGAAACGAAAACATAAAATATGATATTTCCGGATATATAATTCTATTTAATTAGAAATACATTTTAGGAACATATATATACATAAAAAGAGATTTGAGTCAATTTGTCATAAAGAAACTATGTTCGAATGAAATGTTTTGGAAAACTAGCGTCTTCAAGATAACATTCAAAATGGAGAGAGAGAGGAAGTGAAATCTATCAAAACATAACCTGATTATTGAGACAAAATCTTCAGTGAAAGTGTACATGAATTTTTTGGAATCGTATTCCTACCTTTCACCATATTAGCCCTTGATTTCCCTATGTAATGAACGAATACTGAATTTATTCTTCTCATACAAAATTTTAGTTACGCGAAACGGTCGTTTCGATTCACTTCAATGCCAGTCGACGTTGGTATATTTAACACAAATGATTCTCGTTAATTCAAATTTTCACACTCTTGTTTTTCTCAATGTTTGTTTTATTCATGCGAGCACAAAGTAACACTTAAAACTGTAAAATAAATAATTTATTGCCGTTGTTATTAACAAATTCATTGATCTGTTCGAAGCATTCTTCCAAAAAGACGAGGTAGTAGTTACAAACAACATCGAAATAATACACCGGATGTGTCGCCATTGCTTGTTATACTACGATACACTATTATTAAATTAGATACTACCTGTATGCTTTAGATACTATATGTATATTTTTTTTCTTGCTAAGAATGTGTTTTATAGATTAAGCTTTTTTGCTTGCTTTCTATTATTATCTATTCCTTTTATATAATTTGTTGTTTGTACAATACAATCAATTAGTTGCAAATTGATATATGAATAACTGAATAGTTTTTTACAACGTATCTTCTATATAGTCACATATTTCATAAACTATGATTTCATAATGTTAATCTGTATGGTTTGATATGTTAAAAAAATGTCAAACTCTAAAATTCAACCGTTACAGCATAAAATTTCTAAATAAATATTTTCAAAATATAAATAATATGTGCATATATGTATATATATATAATATACATATATGTATATGCAAAAATAATTTTAAAAAATGCAATATGACACTTATTATTTATATTTATATAATACGCGAGTATCAAAAATGCAATTATTTACTGTAAGAATAAAAAATACAGTATTATGTGATTAACGTGAACATTGCTTTAGAGAAATATAAATATTTAACCTAATTTAGATACATCGTACTATAATAAAAAATAAAAATAAAACACTTTTAATAATAAAATGGTGATATTCGATATGAACACGTATTTCTATAAATTAAATATAAATTTAAATATTCCTTGTCTATATTCGCGACATAAAGTTGACGAAATCAAATCATTTTCCTATGTTGTTTAGTTACACGAATTGGCCACCATGTGTCGCTGTGAGCGGCGCGAAGCTCGGATCGATCGTATTAGAACGATGTTATTTTTTAGATAGATTTAGGTAAGCAATCGTAGAATACTAGATGAATACATATTATTTTAGCAAAATGGCTACTTGAAATTCTTTGATTTTCATGAACAAATCTAAATTCATCGAAATGTACGTTATTCAACATTTCTGTATAGAGTTAGTTGTCATATTCTTTTCTTTTTACCGCGGATACTTTAAATCAACTAACGATCAGCGCGGCGCCTTGGCAGCGTTGCCAAGCTTCTATACGACTATACTCATTTAAGTGTAACCACGCGCTTGCGAACACATGATACGCGATATGCATGGTTTGTTTACTGTTCATTGTGATTTGGAAGTACACGTGCTCAAATAAGCAATTGTTAAAATTATAATATTCGTTTTAACCTGTGTTAATGACTTGTCTATTCATTCTTCTTGTGTTTTTTGTTAGAGTGACTTGTGATTTTTACTGCAAAGCACAGAACGAGTAAATCTACGAACTATTTGTTTAAATGGTATTAAAAATAAATACATCAATTGAAATTTTTTTATTAAATTAAACAAATACTTAAAAATTGGTTTAATATATGACACAAATAATTTTTAATTACCTTTGACTACTACATTTGCATGTTATGTCTAAAAATTTCAGTAATATTATTTACATCGATTCTCGCTTGTCTCACTCTTCGCTTTAAATTTGCATGCATTGTCATGAAAAATGTAGTTACGAAATAGTCGATAGATGTCAGAATTTTCCGTTCTTTTTATTTGTACTTGAAGCACCGATAAAACGTTATGTTTCGCTGTTTCAAATCCCTAACTAATTTCGAAATTATTGATTCATACTATTGATTGAATTGAAAAAATACATCGATTAATTATTCCTTTGAATGAGCGGTAATTTTTTAGTTAACGCGCTGCTGAGAACGTTCCCTTAAACGTGTAGATTTGGCAACACCGCACGATCATATTCCGCAAGCAGTAGCCATAGCTAGCGCGTGTGTTTTTGTATTTGCATCGCGGTGCACCGTGGGCCGGGCGAAAGCCAAGATGGCGGCAGCCGTGTTTGGCGAACGCGTTTCAAGTGTATGCTCGGTTTAGACCGCATAAATGGCTCGACCTAAGCGCACAGTAAGTTCTCACACTGTGATTTCCTAGTTCGCACAATTCACCGGCCACTCGATTGTCTCTGAGTAATGTCCATTTGACGAGACACGACACACGAGATTCGTTAGGAGGAAAAAAGTGTCTCGTGCACCCTGTCATAGTCAGCATCTTCGACTGCACGGCAAAGATAATTATTCATCGCCAGTGTTCCGTCAAGATCTCGTATTTATCTCGATACTTCTGTAACTGCAAAGGCTTTAAAAGGATCTTCTATTATGGTAAGCTTTTGTTTATGACGGTTTCATTAGTATGTTTGTAAGAAGGCGCGCTTCTTTCGTGCAATACGTATTTCTTTTTCGTGTATCCATCTCTTGGCACGACTAACTTCTAGATGCGGTAACCGTGTACCGTGAATATACACAATCCCTCTTATTCTAATTTCAAATGACTCACACACCATTCTCCCTCTTCTTATTCCGTATCCCTCCCGCTTTTTCTTATAGTTAAACAAGTTCGTAAACAACATCCTTGCTTTTTTTCTATTTTTCGTACACCTTTTTTTTTTCTTTTTTTTTTTTTTTTT